TGTCACAGCGATTACAGGGCTTGGGATGTGTTTATTATTGATAAGCGATTTATATTTACATTCTTGGGTTCTGTGGTTCCCTTTACTGTTATGTTAATACAGTTATTGCCGCAACAAATTGCTTGATATGATTATGATAAATCATTTGGCTAATTAAATACGCAAAGTATATTTATTTTCCCATTTAGAGTAGATGTGTTTTGTAAAGACCCGGATGGATATAACTTATATCATATACAACATAGATTTTGCATTCAATTCACGCGACCATTGATAAATAACAACAAAATACAAATTATAATTCAACAATACATTTAGTTAATAAACATTTCGGTTAATTAAGTTATAATTCAAAACATTTACAATAAAATAGTGCAACGATTTTGTAACCAAAAATGATATCCGAAAAGAGACTCAAGAAATTGGTTCTCAAGAATGGCGTCCATAAGGTTTGCCATTAATTTATAAATTATTTACACTTAATGTACATTTGATTATCACTTCAGTTGGCGTACGAAGTGTTTGCAAAGGACCGGACACCGGATCCAGTGCTCAAAACGTTAGATATGGTCGATGTGATCGCTAAGACGGGTATGAAATTTGATCACTTGGTTTGGCTGTACTATAACGGCCCGATGGGTCCCAATCCGGCTGAAAACCGTCAGATTGTGTGGACTTATATTCGCTGGCGTTCAGCTCTTCAGGGAATAGACTTAAAATTTTAATTGATTTTTCACAAGAAATATGATTTTTTTGTTTTTCACTCGATTTCTTTTGAAATAAATTGTTTATTAAATGTGTATTTTTAGCTAAATTGTGTTCATTTGTTTAATATATTGGCAATAATTTAAAAAGAGTTAATAAATGTATTAAATTATTTGTAATATATCTCAAAAGTAAATGTGACAAAAAGTCACAATGTGACAATAAATATTTTGTTATAAAGTTATTAAACATGTGTTGGACTTCTCATTAAGCTATTGATGAACTAACTGTGAAATGATTACAAAATAAAATGTACATGCAATCAATGATTCATTAATTTTGTGATCATTTATTTAAAAATTTGAACATGTTTGACAATTTTGGGCAATTGTAGAGCAATATAATTTTAGTATCTAAAACTTGGTTAAGGATTTGTAATACAAATACAAAATATTATTTAAAATTAATTTGCATATAAAACTAAAATTTTGCCTTTAATTGTGATTTGTATTCAACACTCAATGAATAAAAACTTAAATATTTTAAAAATACAATCTATAACTCCAACAATACATTTACTCAATTAATTTATCGATTACTTATAATTCAAACATTTGTATAAAAAAAGTCTAACGCTTTTGTGAACGAAAATGATATCCGAAAAGAGACTCAAGAAAGCAATCCAGAAGAATGGCGTCCATAAAGTTAGCCATTGATATACTGTATAAGTTATATATAATTAATATACATTTAATTATCCCATCAGTTGGTGTACTCCGTGTTTGCAAAGGACTGGACACCGAAGCCAGTGCTGTCCGCATATAAGACACAACCGATTGTCAGTTATGCGGAAAATGAAATCATTTGGTTTTTGGAAAACGTATCGCACGGGTCGTCACTCTTTGAGTTCAAACAACTTGCGTCCACTCATTTCACGTGGCGTTTATACTTCGATGAAATGGACGCTAAGTTTCATTGATTTCATCTAAATATTAATTTTGACATTTTTTTTACTAAAAATTGACTAAAATTTTTTGTCTCAACAGTTATTTCTATTAGTACTATTTAAATGTAAAACATACATGTATCTTATGCCAAATAATACAGTATTTAAGATTTGTAAACTATTTTGTATAGACCAGGTTATAAAAGATAGTATTTAATTTAGTATTTAATATTTAATTTAGTATTTAATTCATTTGGCACTCAATACAGCTTATATTTGTTGATAGCGTCAACAATTGCTTTAACAATATATTTAGGTATTAATTTTGGTTAATTATAATTCAAATATTTGTATAAAAAGTCCAACATTTTTGTGGAAGAAAATGATATCCGAAAACAGACTCAAGAAATTACTTCAAAAGAATGGTGTCTATAAAGTGAGCCATTAATATATAACTTATGTATAATTAATGTACAATTTATGATCCCATCAGTTGGTGTACTCCGTGTTTGCAAAGGACTGGACACCGGAACCTAAGTTGGAGTCATATAAGCCGAGACCAATGGTAGGCTTTACACAAAATGAATTCATTTGGTTCTTCGAAACGGTTCCGAAGGGCACCACATATGTTGAGGGGAAGAGGAATGTGATGCTGTTTTTCCAATGGCTTTTATATCGTCAACAAACGCACGAAATGTATTAGTGATTATTACAAGAATTGTGAATTTTACAAATGGGATTGAGTCTAGTTTTCACTTGATTTGCATTCAAATAAATTGATTATTAGTTTTAAATTGAATAAAACAGTCGAAATTGTGAATTTGTTTTACAGTTATATTATTTCAAAATATAATTTGGGATTTTGTTAAAACTTTTATTTAACATTTGTTGAAATAAGACTACAATTTTTAAAACTATGCATAAAAAGTGTATACATTTTACTCACAAATCAGCTATGATTCTGGTTTATAGGATTGTTCAATATATTTCTAATATCTAAAACTTATTTAAGGATTTGTAATACAAATACAAAATATTATTTATAATTAATTTGCATATAAAACTAAAGTTTTACCTTTAATTGTGTTTATTTGTATTCAACACTATATAAACACTCAATGAATAAAAACTTAAATATTTCTAAAATACAATCTATGACTCCAACAATACCCCGTACATTTAATCAATTAATCTTTCGGTTACTTATAATTCAAACATTTCTATAAAATAAAAAAAGTCCAACAATTTTGTGGACAAAAATGATATCCGAAAAGAGACTCAAGAAAGCAATCCAGAAGAATGGCGTCCATAAAGTTAATTATTGATATATTTTATAAGTTATGTATAATTAATGTACATTTGATGATCCCATCAGTTGGTGTACTCCGTGTTTGCAAAGGACTGGACACCGGAACCAGAGTTGGAGACATATAGGCCTCAACCAGTGGTAAGCCTTACAAAAAGTGAATTCATGTGGTTCTTCGGAACGGTTCCGATGGACACCATAAAGGCTGTGGCCGTGAGGAATGCGATGGTGTTTTTCCAATGGCTTTCATATCATCAACAAATGCACGAAAAGTATTAGTGATTATTACAAGAATTATGAATTTTACAAATGGGTTTGAGTCTAGTTCTCACTTGATTTGCATTCAAATATATTGATTATTAGTTTTGAATTAAATAAAACCGTCAAAAGTGTGCATTTGTTTGGTATTATTTTAAATATAATTTGAGATTTTGTTAAGACTTTTATTTAACATTTGTCGCAATAAGACTACAATTTTTCAATCTATGCACAAAATGTGTACACTTTTTCATCACTTTTTCAGTTTTGTGAATTCAACAAATTTATCACATTTACAGACATTTGTATCAAAGACTTTGTGTCCCGAAAATGATGTCCGAAAAGAGGCTCAAGAAATTAGTCCAGAAGAATGGTTACTATAAAGTAAGCGAATAATATATAAGTTACGTGTAATTAATATAAAATCAAAACTTTACATTTGATTACCCCATCAGTTGGTGTACTCCGTGTTTGCAAAGGACTGGACACCTGATCCAACGCTGAGGACATATAAGCGGCAGCCGACCGCTATAATGACCGAACTTGATCTGTTGGTTATGATCAAAAACATACCGAAAGTGACCACAACCGCCGCCGTCCATCGGATCACTGATGCCTACTTCGGATGGTTTTCACATTTACAACAAACGGACAAATGTTTCACTCATTTTATCAAAGATTGGTATAAAGAGCACGAAATGTACGATTTGATTCAAATCGGGCCAAACGTGTCCCCGAGTGGCCACATGTGATCACTTACTTCCGATGACTTTTACATTTGCAACAAATAGACAAATGTTTGACTCATTTCATGCATTATTAGTATTAAAACAGAAAAATCTGAGCGATTGATACATTTTGAGCGTTAATTTGTATTCAATTAAATTATTTTGAAGTTTTAAATATGATTTTCAATTAAATAAAATATTTGTTCATTCATTGAAATGTGTTGACTGTTATTTCAGATTTAATGTAATGGGGAAGAGATGTGCCATACATTTATTCATACATACGATTAATGATTTATAAATATTGCCATTAATCATAGTAATTTGATCATTGATTTAACATTTATTGTCATTTATATCGTAATATATTTAGCAATTATTATGAATTTGTTAAGACCTTTGCTAAGACATTGATATAAGGCTAGAAATTCACAGTCAATAACTTACATAAGTCTATACTTTTTTATCAAACAAACCGTAACTCAAAACCCAAAAATATTCACACAATTTCGTGAATTCAATAAATTGTTATCACTTTTACAAACATTTACATTCTCTCAAATCAAATGATCAATAACTATGTGTCCGCAAAATGAGCTCATGATTAGAGCATTTAATTTAATTGTTTGAAAAATGTTTGATTCAAACTTTTAAACACAAACTTGTGATTCCCGTTGTATTACAACAGTTAAAAACTGACCGTTTGTTGAGTTTGAGTTTGAATTGCATTTAAATAATAATTACTATAAAAACACTTCTTAACCGTTGGAACAATTCATGTCTTCATTGTGTTTAATACGTTTGGCGGAAGAGCGCAAGTCGTGGCGAAAGAACCATCCCTTCGGGTTCACCGCTAAGCCGAGCATTAATCCCGACGGAAGTCTAAACCTGATGTATGACTACCTCTTGGACTCAATATTTGAATTGATGTTTAATGTATTGATTGTATTCAATGAATGGTATGACAGGGTCTGGCACTGCGGGGTTCCCGGCAAGAGAGGCACCGATTGGGAGGGAGGCCTCTATGAGCTGCGCTTGGAGTTCAGGGTAGCGTGAAGGTCATTTAAGTAATTTATAAAAATTACCATTAATTACCGTAATTTTAGGGTAAATTTACGTAATTTATATTTCAGGTAATTTATGTAATTTATAAGTACAAAAGTTTGATTTCTAG